CTTACATCAGTAGAAGGAAGTATATTTTAATTGTAATCTTTTGGAAATAGTCAGATTAGAGTTAATCGGTACACTGACTAGAATCAATGATGGAGAAAACCAGTAGGTGTGAACTACAGTTGAAGCTGGTTGACAAGGTTAGTCTCAGCTGAAAGTCCGTTATCAATCAGATTACATCCCGAAATAGACTACTTACTTCCTCGCCAACGTCATCCATTTTTAATTTGAAGACTTTACGGTTTAGACAGTTATAATGTCAATATTTCTGTAGTCCTCTAACCACAGGATGGGTGAAGGTATCAACAAACTGTCAAGTCTGCTTGATTGTTTGGTTAGTAACGTCTGGTAACGTCCAATGCGAATGCGCATGATTCAATTTTTCATACCATAGTGCTCGATCCTCAACTGTCGTAAACAGCGCCACTTTTCGGAGCGGTACGCCAAGCGGTACGCGTGCCCGCGTGTCTAGCGCGTGTGCGCCTTGAGAAAAGGCGTGTGTGCGCGCTACACGACACAGGCATTTAGAAGTTATTATTAGTTTACATGTCAATAACAAATATCGGTGATTTTGGCGTCCTACAAGAAAACAGTTTTGAAAATGATGACGAGCTCATGATTATGTTCGACGGCAAAAGGAGCGTCGTCGATTACGATAATACCAATGTCCCTGGATCCACAGCTCTTCCAGCTAAAGTCGACGGTAAAGGCTCTTTTGCGAAAGCGCAAGCTCTGTGCATCGGCGGAAAGGACGGCGATGGAGATGTGTAGGGCGAGCCTCGCTCCGGGGGCCGCCGATGGGGCCGCCCATGGGGCCGCCCATGGGGCCTCCGAGGCCGCTCGGGCGTACGCTGAGGAGGCGGACCGAAGGCGCACGGCGTCTGATGTGCTGCACAGGTGGGGGCCGGCCGGGCGTGGGTTTACTCACCCACGGTTTCTCGTTGCAAAGCGAGTGGAAAACAGTTTCAGTTTGTTGAGCATTTCTACCACCCCAGACTGAGCTGTCGGCTTGACGCGGTGGTGCAGACGGTGCAAGGCGCCGTGGCGCTGGGCCGCGTGTGCCCCTCCATGGTGCGCCTGGTGCAGGCCCTGGACGCCGCCTCTCGGCACCTCGATTGCGAGGCTCTCGAGGCGGCCGCCGAGTCCTTCGAGAAGGCCTTCCCGAGGTGCGACCTCGAGAACCACACACCCGCGGCTCTCACTACCACTGGAGAACACGAGGACAACGTCGGTGACGTCGATCTCGCTCCATCCTCCGCCGCAATTGCCGGCGGGTCCGAGGGATTCTCCAGGAGGGTCCCGGATCGAGTCCCGGACAGGCCCGACCTGGTCGCGGAGAGGGTTGCGGCTCTTTTGAGCCGAGCAGCCGAACCTCCCTCACGCAGTGACTCCTGCTGATATTCATAAACGACTTGTGGTTAAAACAAAGGCTAGAAAAGCTTTCATTTATAATTGCGCAGATCACCAATTTACACCAATCCTATCCTTTACCCAATGTACCCAGCCCCCACCCATACACACCTCGCGAGGTGGGTGGAGGAGAGCGGGGGTAGGAGGGAACAAATCAATGCAGCTGCTTCCTATCCGCCAGTGGGGGTGGGGTCGACTGGAGGCCACCGCCGCCGAGCCTGGAGCAAAGGAGTTTGGTCCAGAAATGACCTCTATACTCCCCTTTCCCCTTTTCTCATT